ATAACTTTCAAAGATACTAAAGATCAGTCCAGCTTTCACGTCTCTGAGCTAAACAAGGCTGGAGACAGTACAGCACCAGCAAAACACTCAGGAGGAAAGGATTTAATCCAACATTATCTTATCCAATCAAGATAACATTCTTATGTGGATAGAAGTTTCAGGAAATGTCCTACCCAGTTGCAAATCACTAAGGGCTAAAAAAACCCCAAAACCCATTGCCGTGGAGTTGATTCCAACTCATAGTGACCTTACAGGACAGGGCAGAACTGCCCCATAGGGCTTCCAACGAGCAGCTGGTGGATTCAAACTGCCAACCTTTTGGTTCGCAACCATAGCTCACTGTAGCTCTTAACCACTGCACCACCGGGGCTTCAGAGCTAAAAGGACTCTTCTATTTGGTGCAATGTAGAAACAACTGTCAGGTAGCTCCCAGCCTCAAATTTTCCTTCCAGCTATAAATATCCCACTTGATTAGCCTTTTCAGAAGGTTTAGCTTCTCACTTAAATAGGGTAGACTTTAACCTTATTTTCAAATGCTAACCAGACACATGCGGCTCCAACTAATCCAAAGTGAATTGAGTCAACCAGATTTTCTCTCTTGGACATAATCTACCCTAAGACAGACAAACAGAAGTAGCCCTGTGGTTGGTGATTACTGCAGCTAAACATCAGGACTGGCAGAAGTTGCAGTTAAAAAACTGATAATAAACATTAAGACCAAGTTAAATAAAACACTAACATCTAGTGGATCATTGCTCATAAACTTAAATAACTAAGGTAATTATAATATTCAAGGAGTCAGGGTTGATCTGTGAAGAGAATGAATATCAGGAAAGAAAAACTGCAGAGAATTCCTTGACATCAGTATATGGGAATCCAAGGTTATAGTGTTATTTATAAAGAAATGGATAGGGACAAAGACAGTAATGAAGCATATTGTGAAATGCTTTAAAATTTTAAAAGATATAAATTAAAAACTAAAAATAAGTTTAACATCCAAATTCTAATAAAAGGCAATCACATATTTCAAAGGAAAAAACTGAAAATTACAATAACAAATCCTTAAAATAGTGTCAACAATAACACACATGAGGAATGTGCATCATAGTTCAATTCACATATAGGAGACCACTGGGCACACCAGCCCAAAAGCAAAGACCAGAAGGCAGGAAGGGACAGGAAAACTGGACAAATGGAAACGGGGAACCCGGGGTGGAGGAGGGAGTGTTGACACATCTTGGGGTTGGAAACCAATGTCACAAAACAATTTATTAACTGTTTAATGCAGAACTAATTTGCTCTGTAAACTTTCATCTAAAGCACAATACAAAGAGAAAAAAATTTTGTAATGTAGAACGCACTGCATACATTTGGCATAAAACAAGAGTAAACTATACAGTTTTGTCTTCCATATTATAGAAATATTTTTGTAACACAAGAAAAAAATAGTATAAAAACAAAAGTCAGATCAAGAATAAAAATCAAAATAATACAAAGTTTAAATTCATCTATTAAAAGAAGAGTTTCAAATTCTGCTGCTTTTTAAATTGCATTGCTCACACGAGAAACACTAGAACTTCAACACAACCTACATGAGAGCAAGCATTTTTGTCTGTGTTGTTCACTGCTCTACCTTCAGCACCAAGAACACTGCCTGGCGCTTAGTGTTTGTCAAATGAAAGAATGTAAAAAGAATGCTTACAAACAAAAACAAAAGCTGCACAATGCCCAATGTTGGCATGGTATAAGCAAGCAGGCACTCTGACTCAGTGCCAGCAGTAATGTTCATAAAAAAAATCAAACCAGTTGCTGTCAAGTCAATTCCGACTCATGGAGACCCCA